GAGCTTGTTCCAAGTAGGTGCTTTAGACCACTGAGCCATCTCTCCAGCCCCATGGCTAAAATATTTTCCCTCTCTGTGGGTTGTCTTTTCACCCTGTTGGTGATTTCTTTTGATGTGTAGAAACTTTTTAATATGATGAAATGCACGTTGTTGATTCTTTAAGTATTTCCCATGCAGTCTGGGTTTTGTTTATGAAGTCTTTGCTATTATCTGTATTTTGTTAATGCCATTAAGTTTATATGCCCCAAATTATTATTTATATTATTTATCTTTCTCTCTTTTTAAACTCTCTCTCTCTCTTTTTTTTTTTTTGGCGGAACTGGGGATTGAACTCAGGCCTTTGTGCTTGCCAGGCAAGCGTTTATTCTACTGAGCTATCTCTCCAGCCCCTTTAAACGCTTGAATTAACCAGATTAATGAAAATTTCAGAACATGTTATCAAAATTAAAACTGATAACTCATCCAAAAAGAAAAATATTTAAAATATTCAATAAAGAAAAAATTAATTCAGTTAAAAACTACCTTATATCAACAAGAGAGCATTCCACAGATAATCTTCTCATTGTCTTCAGATTTTCTTGAAGTTTTCTTAGATAGTTAACATTCACTACCAGTTCAACACCTACATCATACAGCAAGACCTATGGAAACAATAATTTTAAGTCTGTAGAAAGATAAAAATTTAAAAATGGATTTGGAACTTGAAAAGTATAATAAGAAATAATTACAGAAAAAAATTCAAAGTTAATTCACTTTCATGATAACACTTTAACTGTATTACCTCTACCAATGTGTCTGTAACCACTCTGATGATCTGGCCTCTCTGCCACTGATTTTTATCTGGGATCTTAACAGCACAGTGCATATCATTTTTCCATTTAACAGGTTTCCATTTTGAATTTTCATAAGCTGCTATCATCTTTTCTTCTAAGCTACACAGGGATAAAAAAATTCAGATATAAAAGATTTCTTATGTTTTTTATAATTCTTCAACCACATGTTTTCTACTGTGTGGACCCCCCCAGTCATTCCACCTCAGTCCAATCAGACATCATATTCTGCCTTGGATGTGCCAAGCGTATTTCCGCTGCAGGTCTTTGAAGTAGCTCTTCACTCTGAGATGAACTTATCTGTGGTTTTCTCCTTCCCACCTCCACAAGGCCCATTTCAAATGTCACTATCTGTGCTTTCTTCTTAAAATTCTTCTTTTTTTTTTTTTTGGCAGAACCGGGGATTGAACTCTGGCCCTTGCGCTTGCCAGGGAAGCACTTATTCCACTAAGCCATCTCCTCAGCCCTTAAATTCTCTATCTTCCCAAATTCTGCATTTTTCTCAATCACCATCATCACCACACTCTAAGTTTTACACATAATCTTTCCCTTTACCCAAATTTAAGTTCCATGACAGCTAAGATTTATCTAATGTTAGTCGCAGCACCTAAATATAAGATGACATGGGGTACTCAGTTACTACTCAGTGAACAAATAAACTGTCCTATAGCAAAAGTAACCAGTCAAACAATATTTTTATACTTTTAAATAAGGACTGTTCAGTTGTAATAATTTTGTTACTTTCAAAATCCTATGACTTTTACATCTTTGAAACAAAGCACATTATTTTCCTTATATACCTCTTAAGTAAATTTTTTGTTAATAACCATTGAACATAAATCTTCTCAGGAGATATGACATTACATATATGCACAGGCAATTCCTTGTTATAGAGTGATTGGAAATTCTCATTAGGTAGAGATTTTACAGAGATGGGATTTAAGTTGTTTACTTCATGTGAAATAATTTCTTCTGGAGAAGGATCCCATATTTCAACATGCTTTTTAGAATTATCTTTGGGGATATATCTGAAAAATAAAAGCAAAAATTAGCAAAACATTTGGGGGAATTAAAAATAGCAAAATAGAAATGAAAGCAACTTCTTTAGGTCCTGAAATTGAGATACCTTCAAAACAATATGACAAAGACATAAGAATACACAGATTTCTGGGAATCAGGAGGCAGTTTTATCTATTAGTTT